TTTCAGGCCCCGCAGATTAGGTAGGGGGAATGCGGTGCCGGTTTCCTTGCATCCAAGGCTCACAAGGCGTTGAAACCGATTTTCTTGACACTTTTTTGGGGTAACCGTTCCATTGTCTCCTCATGATATTGAAGAGCTGTGTCTCTTTTTTTGAGTGCGGATCACCGCCCTGTCTGGTCTCTCATTTCCTGGCGCCTTTTGCTGTCCCTTCCTCCCTCCCTTCCTCCCTCCCTTCCTCCCTCCCTTCTTGCCTCCCTTCCTCCCTTCTTCCCATCCCTCCCTAAAGCTCCTCCGTCCGCCTCGATTGCGACAACAAGCCCGCCCCTGTGGATTTCATCCACCTGGCTTATGGCTACCTACCCCTGGCTTGGGCCGCGAACACGGCGAGCTGGGGAGAGTTCTTTTTGCGCGAGGTCAGGCCGGAGGAGGAGGGCAGTCGTTGGCCTGGAGAGAGGGGTAGCCGACACGCTGTCACGGGCGTGGTTGTATTCTATGAAGAATGTCCATATCATCATATTTTTTGGGCTTTCAAAATTTTGAATGTTTGAGATTTGTGCCGTTGCCTTCTCCCAGCTCGGGCGTCGTGGTTGATCAATGTGCACTTCGAAATCGGGGTTCTATGCCCTAGTTTTCCGACTCACATGCCGACTTTTCCCAATCTCTCCCTTCCTCCTGCCTAACCCCCCCTCCCGCCTTTATCTCCCCTCCACGCCCAGGCGGTAAACGTTCTCCCTGTCACCGCCATGAGCCTAGGCCTCTCCCGCGACGCCGCTTACGCCTGGTTTCCGCACTGGACTTTATCGAACGACCTGGTGGCTTTCCTTCAGCTCGTTACCCTCCTGGTTGGGGGGCTGTCCTCGGTATGGCTCACCAACGCCATCACGCACCGGTCTCTCAAGGAGATGCTTCCACAGTTATCGACGATATTTGGCTTGGAGTGCATGTTTGCGGTGGCTGTCCTAGGTCCTGGTCCACCCTGGCACTAGGTGGGGGGTTCGCGAGTAAAATGACATAGAGGACGACCGAGGCGAGGGGAGGCAACTTATAGAATAATGTGCAGGTGAATTCTCACTGACTCGGGGAATGAGGATTTAAATGTATTCTGTGAAGAGGGAACTGTTTGATAGGACGTCTGTGCGGCTCTGGTTTGACTGCTAATGAAGGTATTAAATTTGAATTCGTTAGGGAGTTCAACAATGAAAGGAGAGGACTTCGAGCACCCCGAGGTCACCTCGCACACCACGAAAATTAAAAGAAAGATGCCGAAGAATAGACAAGCCTTGATTACGGGTCTGCTAGTCTGCTCACTTCCGTTTACTTTTTGTCCTACAATGCGTGCGTAACCCTCTTCTTCCGACTCCATTTTCGAATTTATGATTCATGTTTCCTCTATACAACGTCCATCACCGCTCTGATCCTCGTTACTTCCAACCTTTTCCACTCTGTGCTCTTCCTTTTTCTTAGGCACTCATTCCAACACCCGCCACACAAGACATGTCCTCGGTTCCTGGCATTGGTACCCCCCCCTGGCCCTGATGGCCCCTATTTCCACGCAGCCACACCCTCCAAACAGGCTGCCAAATGTCGCCAGATTACGAACTTATCCTCAAATTCCAGGGCCGGCCGCTCGCATGCCCCGCATTCGCACTGGAAGCTGTCGTCAAACCGGATGACGTAAATCCACGCCTGCAGGCTGGGAGTGCCAACACGCTGTGGATCAGCCACCGTCGATCCCTCCGTCGCCTTTACCGCCTGCTCATTGACTAGAAGACGGACCTCGTACTGCAAGTAGCTGTTGAGTTGCAGGACGTCGTACGGGTCCATGTGCTCTTCCCCCGTGCACTGCGCAGGCACAAAGAGGCGGGAGCTTTCCTCCATGTCGCCCTCCCAGTCGTCGAATTCCTCGTATTCGCTTGAAACCAGGGCTTGGGCCGTCGCCACTCCCTCTGCGTCATCGCTTAATTTCAGAAACGTCACGGTCGACTTGTAAGTGCTTGGGTCCAGCGGGCCTCCATCTTTCTTCTCCACAGTCAAAGAGAGGCCCCAGCTGCCGAACAAGGCAGTAAGAGCTTCCCCGTCGGTCAAAGGGACGAGCGCACTGGCGACCAATTGCTCTTTCTTTTCCCCCTCTTGCTTCCCTTCGCCCGCGTTTTCCACGCCCCAGACGTGGATGTGGAGAAATGACCGCTCAAAGCGGCGATGCCAGCGTGCTTCCTCTTTCCCAACGTCTTTCAGCTCAGGAACGTCCTCACTACAGATGCCGCGGACATTTTTGTAATGCTTGGCAAAAAGCCGTTGATAGGAGGATGGATGCAGAGGGAAGGATGACGCGGTAGGAGAGAAGTGTGAGGCATTCTCGGTGAGAGCGCGACAGGAGCTTCCATGTCCCATGTTAGTCAAACCCTCTGGTTCTGCCGAACTCATCGCCTCAATAATCGGCATGAAAGAAGAGCCAAAATGTCGCAAAAGGAGCACTTTCCATAATTTGGGAGCCATGCTTTCCTGACGCCAGTGCCTGTCTACTTCCGATGCTGTCACCAGTGAAGGCAGTGGAAGATAAGAGAAGACGGCGCGAATGATATCGGATGAAAAAGTGCGGGCGACAAGGCTTGCAGGATGTAGAAGGGGTGAGCACCTGGAACAATTCTTTATTTTGCGAGCTTTGATATTCTTAATTTCTATTTTAAAATTTGATTTTGGTCGTATTGAATTGATCTTGATGCTCGAACGGGTGTCATTGATGATGGAAGACATACTGCACTCGATAGGTTTTCCGAGGGGCGGTATTTTTTGCCTATAGACCTGCGTAAAGGCGTACAAGAAAATAATTTCTAATGTATCAGTATCATTCAAATGCCCTTTGCAATTATCTAGCTTCAAATTGGCATATAATTCATCAATTATCACAGTCGCATTTTTAACCTCCTCACAATTTCTCGTAGTAACGAGGGCGAGACGCCAATAAAATTAATTGGGCAATTCGCTGGTCGTTATGTATTAAAGAATAGTATTGTTTGCCATTTAAGCTTTGTCGTACAAATTAAAAAGGCTTCTCAGTTTTAGTAACCTATAGCCTACCTCCTTTCATCCTTCCGGCCCCATCAGAAAAGACACAAAACGAAGGATTCCATCGACAAAACATACCCCCCAAAAAACACACACCTTATCCGAGCAAATTCCAATTTTGACATGCTATGAATCTCTTTTATCCGCCCGTCCACATGGAAAGGACACAGTTCATGCAGTACTTTGTGGGGGGGCAGAGGCCGTTCAACTTCAATTAGCGAAGGATCGTATCGGGGGAGAATCCACACCCCAGTCCTGTCTACTTTACAACTACTGTTTACTTTACCCTGAGAGACGCGGGCGATGAAATGTCGTGGCGCTCTGTGTCAGGTTTATCCAGTTGATTTGTATTTTCTTCTTTAGTGCGAGACAAACATAGTGTACTTTATCGTGGAAGCTCGGTCGCCTCTGACAGACCCCACTGGAACAAGTGTGGTGTCATTCATGGTTTTGCAGGCGCAATGGATCCTGATGATTTTTGATTGAAGATGGAAATGGAAATTCAGATTGTATAATTTGTATCGACGTCAGCAATCGTTATTTGAAGACCGCAAACTGAGCATCGCGATTGCCAGTGACGGTCCGACATTTTGGATAACATACAATTAGAGAGGTATGCTTCACTTTTAGGACAGTGAATCGAAAACCTGAAATAAATCGAAGAGTGGGGAGCCATATTTGCAATCGTTTTAAAAATTACATCTGTGAACTAATTCGCTTCCTTCGCAAGTCATTTATGCTATTAGTTTCAGGAGTACTTTAAATACCCTGGTCATCACAAAATATGCGACTACAAGCAAGAGCACATGCAGTGGCCCTTGAGATATCAAGGCGTATGAAGCTATGAGTATGCCAGCAACCACATGAAATTCTGGCGATGAAAGTTGCTCCAGACTTTTCTTCCTTTCCTGCGTTGCCCAACCCCGTTTTCTCTCTTCACTCTCAACAACACGTTGCTGCGCATGATTTTCAACAGGTTTTCTCGATCTTGCTTCCATTGTCTTTGCAGATGCTAGGTCTGTCGGTGCGTTGAAAGACACAGGTGTATTGTCCAGATCGGCCACCTGTGCTACAATCTCATTTGGGAGATCAACGCCACGGCTCATCAATACATTTCGTAGATGGGAAGCAGCCTCAGAAATCGCATGAGCACATTCACCCAAGGGCGTATCAATGTGCATGGCAACGTCAAGCTCTTCCCGAAGGCGCTTGGCCAGACTTTTCACATCGTTTCCTGGAAGCGATGGAGGGGTGGAAGCAGGCCGTGCAGGACGCCCTTGTGTGAGGAAGAGGGTTTCGTCGTGACTTTTATTGGCGAGGACGACAAACCCCAGGAGATGCAGAATTCCAGGCGAGAGAGACATCTCGGCGATGGGTGTGGAAGAATTGACGAGCTGCAAAGGCGCAATTGCTCTCTTGAGACTCGTGTACAAGGTGAGGAGGAGCTTCTCGTCCTCGGCTAGGGGAGCTCTCGACATCTCAACACGTCTATTTTTATTCTTGAAATTTACCCTGTCCAATCAGAGGTGCATGTTGTCAAAAGCTGAGTGCGATGTTGAATGCATGCGACCGCCTTTCCTGCCAAAACTTGGTGCTGTCACCATGCCAAACCACAATGAAAATAAGAAGCGCACTTTTGGCGGCCCCACTCGGACAACATGGACAAGAAGCGCTCGCCCTTTCATCCATTCGTAGAGTTCTTAAGGATCAGTAAGATGGAGGGGCGTTTCATTCCCCACATTGTTCCACAATGAACGATTACGTATCGAAAAGACGGCGCTTCCCACTTCCTGCCAAGCTCAACAAGCGATAAAATACAAACACAATCTCGTGCGACAAATTTTCCATCCCTTTCCTATGAGAGTAGTACTGTATGTTGTTCGTAGCATTCTATGACTGTGTATGTGTTTTTATCCAAAGATAGCCTGCTAAAATCGGTGAGGCCTATGGTCATATGACTGACGCCTTGCGTTCTACTCGATCTTCCGTGTCGCTGTTCTTCAACGCTACGCTTTTCCTTCAGACTACATATTCTAGCCATTTAGTGCTAGCATCACGAGCTTTCAACTTCCCAAAAAGCTGACTGTCGTAAATGAACGTTTTGACCATGGTAGGCAAGGGATAGAGTGGACTTAAAGTGAAGTATGAGCGACGACGACGAAGCATCGTGATAGGGAGGAGGTTGACGCATGCGCCAAGAGGAGGAGAAAGAGCCATCAGGGCGTCAGCATGAGAGCGTGAAGAGAAGAGATTCAGGTTGGGATGGGACGAAAAGAGAAGGATAGTATTGCACGGAAAAGAGTGAGAAAAATAGTCATGTGCGGTGGCTGAAAAGGAATGAAATGCGAGGGTCCGGAGCGTATGATCGGTCAGTCAAATCCAGCGCCAACTCACGGAAAAGGAAAAGCATAATTTTAACACTTCTTGCCGGCAATGCTGGTCCAGTATTTTTGGGGAATAATCCTGTTTTTCTACATTTCCTTGTATAATGATTTGTCAAACATTTCCAAGTACCTGACAGGAAGGATTCGGATCAGAAACTGAATTTCGAAAAAGAAGTAATGCACGCGTTTCATCGTGTCTTCTTCCTCTCCTCTTCTCCTCCTATCTTCCTCCACCAAACCCAGCTGCGAACCATCAGGTCGCATCGATGCTTCTCTCGAACTGCCTCCTCCCTCCATAACAACCTCCCTCCTTCCTTGTCGTCCTTCATCGCTGCCATTTGCATCGGCGTCCATCCCCAGCCCCTCACTCCCATCCCACCGCTTCTCAAGTTTATGTCTACGATGTTTTTGCTTCCTTTTCGCCCCATCGAAATTAGCTCTTTCAGCACCTCCCTCCATCCCTCCCTCACCGCATCGTGGATTAAGCCCTGGCCTGAACGCCAGTGCAAATCATTCAACGAAGGGGCTGGCAACGT